CTGTGTTGATCATATGTGTGTGCCCATATGTGTGCGCACATGTGTTCGTGCAGATGTGTGTGTGTGTGTGTGCGCGCATGTGTGTTCGTGGAGATGTGTGTGGGCATGTTTTCATGCAGATATGTGCGTATGCGTGTTTGTGCATCCGAGTACAAGTGTGTGTGTGTGTGTGTGAGTGTATACACATGTATATCAAGGCTATCTTCTCTTCTCCTCAGCAGTTCCTCTACTGCAGCTCAACTCAGCAGTTCCTCTACTATTTTTTCGACTCAGCAGTCTTGAAGTATTGTTCAATTGACCAGTTCATTACAGTTGTTCAACTCATCAGTTGCTCTATCGTTGTTCAATTCAACAGTCCACTACTGCTGATTAACCCAGCAGTCTCGAAGTGTCGTTTAACTCAGTAGCAGACCTCTACCGTTGAATAACCATAACCCAGACAATTTGAACAAGCTTCTTCAATCCCAGTTTTAAAACAAATGTAGCTTGATTGTAGAAAGCTTGAGAGATAGTCAGAGTGACTGACTTACAATCTTGCTGTCAATCTTGAACTCAACTTACAATTTTTTCTGCGTCTTAATCCACCCATCTTCAGTGTCCTCCTTCTGTCTTCTAGTCTACGTTCATTTATGATTCAGCTCTCTCTCTCTCTCTCTCTCTCTCTCTCTCTCTCTCTCTCTCTCTCTCTCTCTCTCTCTCTCTCTCTCTCTCTCTCTCTCCTTCCCCTTCTCCTCCTTTCTTCTTTCCTAGTTCCTAGTAAAGTCAAGGAAGGCATTACCAAACATCTCAAATATATTGATTTCGAATAATTCTTTCTCCACAATGTGGCAGAATTCCACTGTAAAAAAATGTTTCAGTGAGCAGCGAGAAGCTGAAGGAGGAGGAGGAGGAAGAAAAAGGTGTAGGAGAATGGGATGTAGAAGAGGCAGGAGACGGAGGAGTATGGGATTAAGGGTTAATGGAGGAAGATAAATAAGAGAAGGAATAACAGGAGAAATATAATACAAACACATCTTAATCCTAACCCAGTCTTCTGAATAGGGACATTTACCTACCCATTATATTCATGGTTAATAGAGTTCGTCAAATATATCATTAAATTACCCCATTAGATTTTTTTAATTATTTAATTTTGTTTTATTTTATTCAGGGACTGTTTAAGATGTCCCTTTGAGGCACTAAGTGTGAGTGGGTGGCATTGTGAGGCTCTCAGTGTGAGGGGGTGGCATTGTGAGGCTCTCAGTGTGAGGGGGTGGCATTGTGAGGCTCTCAGTGTGAGGGGGTGGCATTGTGAGGCTCTCAGTGTGAGGGGGTGGCATTGTGAGGCTCTCAGTGTGAGGGGGTGGCATTGTGAGGCTCTCAGTGTGAGGGGGTGGCATTGTGAGGCTCTCAGTGTGAGGGGGTGGCATTGTGAGGCTCTCAGTGTGAGGGGGTGGCATTGTGAGGCTCTCAGTGTGAGGGGGTGGCATTGTGAGGCTCTCAGTGTGAGGGGGTGGCATTGTGAGGCTCTCAGTGTGAGGGGGTGGCATTGTGAGGCTCTCAGTGTGAGGGGGTGGCATTGTGAGGCTCTCAGTGTGAGGGGGTGGCATTGTGAGGCTCTCAGTGTGAGGGGGTGGCATTGTGAGGCTCTCAGTGTGAGGGGGTGGCATTGTGAGGCTCTCAGTGTGAGGGGGTGGCATTGTGAGGCTCTCAGTGTGAGGGGGTGGCATTGTGAGGCTCTCAGTGTGAGGGGGTGGCATTGTGAGGCTCTCAGTGTGAGGGGGTGGCATTGTGAGGCTCTCAGTGTGAGGGGGTGGCATTGTGAGGCTCTCAGTGTGAGGGGGTGGCATTGTGAGGCTCTCAGTGTGAGGGGGTGGCATTGTGAGGCTCTCAGTGTGAGGGGGTGGCATTGTGAGGCTCTCAGTGTGAGGGGGTGGCATTGTGAGGCTCTCAGTGTGAGGGGGTGGCATTGTGAGGCTCTCAGTGTGAGGTATAGTGAGAGTGCCGCTGTGAGGCTCTCAGTGTGAGGTATAGTGAGAGTGCCGCTGTGAGGCTCTCAGTGTGAGGTATTGTGAGAGTGCCGCTGTGAGGCTCTCAGTGTGAGGTATAGTGAGAGTGCCGCTGTGAGGCTCTCAGTGTGAGGTATAGTGAGAGTGCCGCTGTGAGGCTCTCAGTGTGAGGTATAGTGAGAGTGCCGCTGTGAGGCTCTCAGTGTGAGGTATAGTGAGAGTGCCACTGTGAGGCTCTCAGTGTGAGGTATAGTGAGAGTGCCACTGTGAGGCTCTCAGTGTGAGGTATAGTGAGAGTGCCACTGTGAGGCACTGAGTGACAAAGTGTCTACCTATGACGCAAAGGGAAGTAACCTTTCTGACCAAGAGAGAAGCCTTAGTATTATATAAATAATTTCTTATCTTTCTCAAAATCTTTTCCCCCTTTTTCTTTCGTGAATTTAGATGTGTCTCTTTGGCTTAATTTAAAATAACACCTTTTCGTACCTGTCTTAAATTGGAAAAGATGAAAATATAGAAATTTCGAATTATATTTATTTTTGCTTGTTTATGAAAGCATTAAATCTTACCCAATTAATAAACAATTTAACTCATCAAATCAGTATCCAGGTCCTATTCTACGAATCATTGGTAATACATGTTTGAAGAACTATTTTATGAAATGTATTACATTTCAAAGTACTGAGTATTTCATGAAATTTAATATACTGCTGTATTTCATGAAATTTAATATACTGCTGTATTTCATGAAATTTAATATACTGCTGTATTTCATGAAATTTAATATACTGCTGTATTTCATGAATCTCATACATTGACACAAATACAAATATTGATAACTGTGATACTTTATATGATAAAGTATCATATATATCATATAAATAATCATTTGATACTTTATTGATACATTGACAGCTTTGTGGTAATATATTTTCCCGACTGTCCGTTAGCGTCTTCCGCTACATTTACCCGTCCAGTCCATGACTTAATAGACGGTGAAGATAAATGATTGAACACATAACAGTTATTTTTTTGTATTAAGAGGGAACTCTCAATATAAATCAAAGTATCTTTGTTCAGGTGGCAAGGTACATTGAACATTGCAATCTGTCAATAAGAATGTCAATCAAATACCTACAACATATTGTTGCTAACTTAGTGCAAGTGTGCACAGTAAGGCTCTTGTGGAGGAGCTGAAGAATTAAGGGGGGAGAGGGAGAGAGGGAGGTTTGATACTTGAGAGAAGTATTTACCCTCTTGCGTTATCACTACAACACAAAAAATGCTATCCTAACCTAACTTATCCCAACTTAACGTACTCCAACTTAACTTATCCCAGCTAAACCTAACGTAACCCAACATGAAGGAAACTTTACATAGGATCTCTCTCTCTCTCTCTCTCTCTCTCTCTCTCTCTCTCTCTCTCTCTCTCTCTCTCTCTCTCTCTCTCTCTCTCTCTCTCTCTCTCTCTCTCTCTCTCTGTCTCTCTCTCTCTCTCTCCAAGTTAAAATTAACGAAGTCGTGTTTGGGATCACCCTTAGCTTGGAAGACCATAGCTTGAGGACAGGATGCCCTCGCATTGCATTTACAAACAATCACTAAGAATGAAAACACCTATAACCTGTCCTAGACATAGCTATACACGAAATTACATTATTACATCAATAATAATATAAATTGTATATGGTTTTATCATCACATAAACCAGCTAATGTAGACTTAGGCAAATGACACCAATTCTGGATGACCAACTCTCGCTGGTGTCCAATTAGACAGAGCTGACTGCCAGCCAACATCCAATTAACCATGAGCCACATATGTCCACATTATGGTTTAATAATGCTTCAGAGTAGAGTCTGGCTCTGCAAATGATCTTATTGGAGATAATGAATACACATATCTGACACACGACTTTCAGCACACACAATATTACACACACACACATTTGCATACACGTGGTATGCGGATCATTATATAGTCACATATGACACAGGCATATTCAAAAGTATTCACGCGTGTATAATTACGAATATATGAACATTCACGATTATTTCCTTACACCGAACAACCATTTACTACATAATTGTACACACAAAACCACACACACACACAAAGCCACACGCACACACACACACACACAAAGCCACACGCACACACACACACACACACACACACATGCACACACATACACACACACACACACACACACACACACACACACACACACACACACACACACACACACACACACACACACACACACACACACACACATACACACACACACACACAATTCACACGCACACACACACACACACACACACACACACACACACACACACACACACACACACACACACACACACACACACACACACACATACACACACACACACACACACAATCCACACACATTACCACACATACACATATATAACCACACGACACAAACACACGACCATAACCACTTGAAACACAACCCCACACAACCACACACAAACATAACCACACACGACAATAAAATCACCCCGACACACACACACACACACACACACACACACACACACACACACACACACACACACACACACACACACACACACACACACACACACACACACACACACCTACCTTTCCCTTCTGCACCCTCTTCACGACACGACCAAATCACCAGGTATTATTCCCATCATAACTGTCGTGCCAGAGTCGTTCCATCTCCTTTACTGCAAGCCTGACGAAGCAGGAGCCACCAACACTGGAACTAATGACGGCAAAGGTCATAATAAGACACAGTTCAGATGACAGTGCCAGCCTTAACGACGCCCGCTCAGCACCTGAAGACGACTTAGCGTCTGCGTCGTCGCTTCTGACACGACTAACTGAACTGTCGTTATCAAACTTCGACTTTAATAGACGTGTTACGGCCGGCGCTGTACACCGTGTAGTGGTATGTGGATGTTGGGTGTGTTTTGTTCCTTGGGTATACTGAGACATTGGTGGCAATGGCTACGTTTAGAGATTCAGGCAGTACACTGCTTGACGCAGCCACACACACTCAGATACACTGAGAGTACACTGCATGACGCAGACACACTCGGTACACTGCATGACGCAGACACACTCAGTACACTGCATGACGCAGACACACTCAGTACACTGCATGACGCAGACACACTCAGTACACTGCATGACGCAGACACACTCAGTACACTGCATGACACAGACACACTCAGTACACTGCATGACGCAGACACACTCGGTACACTCCATGACGCAGACACACTCGGTACACTCCATGACGCAGACACACTCAGTACACTGCATGACGCAGACACACTCAGTACACTGCATGACACAGACACACTCAGTACACTGCATGACGCAGACACACTCGGTACACTCCATGACGCAGACACACTCGGTACACTCCATGACGCAGACACACTCAGTACACTGCATGACGCAGACACACTCAGTACACTGCATGACGCAGACACACTCGGTACACTCCATGACGCAGACACACTCGGTACACTCCATGACGCAGACACACTCAGTACACTGCATGACGCAGACACACTCAGTACACTGCATGACACAGACACACTCAGTACACTGCATGACGCAGACACACTCGGTACACTCCATGACGCAGACACACTCGGTACACTCCATGACGCAGACACACTCAGTACACTCCATGACGCAGACACACTCAGTGCACTGCATAAAGCAGTCACACACTCAGTACACTCCATGACGCAGACACACTCAGTACACTCCATGACGCAGACACACTCAGTACACTGCATGACGCAGACACACTCAGTACACTGCATGACGCAGACACACTCAGTACACTGCATGACGCAGACACACTCAGTACACTGCATGACGCAGACACACTCAGTACACTGCATGACACAGACACACTCAGTACACTGCATGACGCAGACACACTCGGTACACTGCATGACGCAGACACACTCAGTACACTGCATGACACAGACACACTCAGTACACTGCATGACGCAGCCATACACTCAGATATTCAGACTTCTAAGTGCATAATGATGATGTCTGAACAAACACACATGTACAGAATATATTATATATAATGACCAGACCACACAACAGAAGATAAAGCAACGACGACGTTTCGGTCCTTGCTGAACCGTTATCAATTCGATGCACAATCGACTTGATAATGGTCCAGAATGGACCGAAACGTCGTCGTCTCCTCATCATCTGATGTGTGGTTTGGCCATCATATCATCAGCCACGTTATTGTGACTCATCGTCTGTATATTATATGTGATTTTTATACAAAAAAATGATATAAAAACTGGCTTTTAAATCTGAGTGCTCCATCGACAAGATGAGCTCTGTGCTTAATATTTTATTAACTTTGTTATTCTCTTCTTTGAACTAGAAAAAAAACTGTTTTCCTCTCTTTTTATTTATGAAGATTTGGTTCTTTAAATGAATGTGAATTTCTTTATCAGTCAATTAATGAGGGGAACTTTGGTAAACACAGCCTCCTTGCACGGCACATATAAATAATACATAATTTAAATGATCGCATTGCTGGCGATATTGATCTTATACTAAAAGATTTCTTTGTTTCTATATATTTTCTTACTCTCAAGTTATCGAAATTCTTGGTAAAGGAAACTAATGATTATTGAAGGGTATATTTTCTATAACGTTTCGTTCCACTCTGGAACATCTTCAGGTAAGGAATGAATATACAAGTTGCAAATTTATCTATTATGCACATGCAAAATTTATCTATTATACACATGCAAAAAAAGGTGAATTGTCTGGAGAGTAAGGTGAAGTAATAACATGTAGGTGAGGAAATAGGGGAATAATGTGTATGGATGCCAATTAAACACTGGGTAAGGCGGTGGATGGGGAGAACTGGGTGGAGATGTTGTCATTATCTGGTGCTGTATGGTGAGGTCTGGGTCTGAGCGTAGGCAAGGTGCTGTATGGTGAGGTCTGGGTCTGAGCATAGGCAAGGTGCTGTATGTGAGGTCTGGGTCTGAGCGTAGGCAAGGTGCTGTATGGTGAGGTCTGGGTCTGAGCATAGGCAAGGTGCTGTATGTGAGGTCTGGGTCTGAGCGTAGGCAAGGTGTTGTATGGTGAGGTCTGGGTCTGAGCATAGGCAAGGTGCTGAATGGTGAGGTCTGGGTCTGAGCATAGGTAAGGTGCTGTATGGTGAGGTTTGGGTCTGAGCATAGACAAGGTGCTGTATGGCGAGGTCTGGGTCTGAGCATAGACAAGGTGCTGTATGGCGAGGTCTGGGTCTGAGCATAGACAAGGTGCTGTATGGCGAGGTCTGGGTCTGAGCATAGACAAGGTGCTGTATGGCGAGGTCTGGGTCTGAGCGTAGGCAAGGTGCTGTATGGTGAGGTCTGGGTCTGAGCGTAGGTAAGGTTCTGTATGTGAGGTCTGGGTCTGAGCGTAGGCAAGGTGCTGTATGGTGAGGTCTGGGTTTGAGCGTAGGTAAGGTGCTATATGGTGAGATCTGGGTCTGAGCGTAGGTAAGGTGCTATATGGTGAGGTCTGGGTCTGAGCGTAGGCAAGGTGCTGTATGGTGAGGTCTGGGTTTGAGCGTAGGCAAGGTGCTGTATGGTGAGGTCTGGGTCTGAGCATAGGTAAGGTGCTATATGGTGAGGTCTGGGTCTGAGGGTAGGCAAGGTATCCAATCCTTTACTCTGTATATTTAGTGTGGGTCTTTTTTTCTTTTATGAGTATAGCTTCCAGTATTTGCAGTCATCTCTGGTCAGTGGTGGATGCCAGGATTGTTGTATTATCCACCAGCATGTTCTTAGTGAGTCTTGTGGTGTGTACACTTTGCATGTGGTTTCTAGGGGCACCAGCTTGTTGATGGCAGGTCAGTCTTCTCGAATACTTTGTGGTGGTCATACCAAAATAAGTAGATCGCAGGTGATATCCTTCACTGGGGCATGTAAATTGGTACACCAAGTTTGCTTTTTGGAGAGTGTTGTATTGTTTAGTGAGACAGTTCTTAAGTATTAATTCAGGATTTCTTTTTTGCTTTGTACTAAATAATGAAATAATTATAACAAATAAGTAATTGTGTTATGTTTATTGTCTTCAGAGAGTTAGGGCTTGTGAAAAAACACCGAATGAATATCTTGCAACAATATACTGGGAAATATGCAATGTTGGAAGTAAGTAGTGGTGGTGTATTTAGTCCCAAAAGCAACAGAACGAAAGGGAATAATTACCTTCGACTCTCAAAGGACATCAGTTTAAGAAATAGTGATAACTTAATATTCTTTGTGGGTAATAAGTTAAGAAATATTAATAACTAAATATTGATAACACAAAGTGACGAAATAATGATAAATTTTGACCCCAAAACAAAAACACGTAAAGAGTTTCACCTTAAGTAAAGCCTAAATTTTAGCGGGAAATAAAGACATTCTTTCCTTCACGTTGAAATAAATGGAGGTGGAGCCAGAAAGATTGATTCTCGCGGGTACGGGAGGGACGAATGGTGTGGACGATGGATGGTGGTGTAGTAGTGGATGGATAATGGTGAAATAGAGGATAGATGAGGCACGAGACCAGGCAACCCCCCTTATGTACGTTACCTTTCTTTTTAAACAAGTGAATGCAAGATTAGATCACTTCTGACCCCTATTAACAGACGTAGATTTTTCTGATCCCATTTCTCATGGTAAACCTCATCCTATTAGTTTATTAAACACGTGCGATACTGGATTAGACGACTTATGAATTATTTTCTGAAGCTTGGCACACTCTCTCCCTTTTCATAATTCATCATAAGTTTTACACCTGCTGGTTTTCCCTGGAACACTACACGCAAGAGGATTTACAACAAGATGCCTATTTACTGCTGGGTGAATAGGAGAAAACAGCTTAGGTGCACAGTCAACTTCCTTCGCCACCATATGAGCTTTTTTTTAAGGATAGGCATTTATTGATTTAAATAGGAGCATTTATTGATTGAAAACAAGCATTTGTTAATTCAAATATGGGCATTTATTGATTTAAATATGCTCATTTAGTCATTCGAAGACGAACATTTCTTGACTCAAAAATTAAAAACATGTGTGCACCTGTCTGACTAAGCAGACTATTGTTTAATCTAATATTTCACTCTCTCATTGACTAGAAATAATTACTTTGTCTGCTATTCGGTAAATAATTCCCTTGACATTTATAAATATAATACTTTGATAAAACAAAACAAAAACATTTGTTACTTTGAGATAATTACTTTTACATTAAGTAATTTAAAAACACAATTAAGCTGATCAAATTGTTTATTTTTATACAATAAATAACTTATTTTATTATATATACTTATTTTATAAATATTTTATGAATATATCTAGTTTAATCAATTTATTCATTCGCATATATGATTGGGGATCATTCAAGTTTGTTCACATTTATTATATAAAATACAAAAATTATTATATATTACATACTGAAATTATTATTAATTCTGCCGACCTTTAGACGTAAAATATCGTCAAGGTAGCATAGCTTCTCAAGGAACACCCCTCACGAAAATAGTTCTCAGTAGCAGTGAGAAATATATTGAGACTGAAAGTTTACGACAAAATCTTTTTCTCTGGATGACTTGCACCCAATATGAAGATAAAAATATTATCAGTTTAATATAACAAGTGTTTAGGACAGAAGAAATATCTCAATTGAATATACCTGGTGTCTAGGAGATGAGGAAATATATCAGTTTATGTTGACCAAACCACATACTAAAAAGTGAAGGGACGACGACGTTTCGGTCCGTCTTGGACCATTCTCCAGTCGATTTTGGAGAATCGACTTGAGAATGGTCCCAGGACGGACCGAAACATCGTCGTCCCTTCACTTTCTAGTGTGTGGTTTGGTCAACATATTTCAGCCACGTTATTGTGACTCCTCGTCTGCATCTGAATATCAGTTTATCTAAGTTTGCGACAGGGTTAAGGGAAAGAGTCAAGTTAATGAGAAGGGCTTGTGTTGCTTGTGGGATTAAGGACTTTACCAGTATATGAGAGGTGTTTGTGTGGCCTTGTGTTACTGGAATATTCATTAGGTAAAAGCCTGAACATGGGAGGAACCCCAAGTTTCATGACAGGATAATGGCTGAGTACGAATATTATCCTCGTTACATAATGCTGGCTGGCAGAGGTGAAATCCTCCCTTGTCACGTCTCCCAAACATTCTCTGGATAGTATACGGGAAATTTTTTCTATCTTCAAAGTGTTTTTGCCCCCCGAATGGTCTACTAAGTAGTTGGATACCAGCCATTCACTGTGTCTTGAAGTCTAATATCTTAGAATGTCATTTCCTGTTAAGTGCTATATAGTTGTCATGATTAGGTGTGTGTGTGTTTGTATGTTCACCTAATAGCACTAACCTGTTTGTTGTGTCTGAGCTAATGTTCTTTGGTCCCGCCTCTTAACCGTCAATAAACATTTGTACAGATTTCTTAGCCTACTGGGCTCTATCATATCCATATTTGAAACTGAATATGGAGTCTGCCTTCACTACATCACTGCCTAGTTTATTCAATTTGTTAAATAATATGTCACTGAAAAAGTTCCATCTAATGTGTGTGTGGCTTATTTGGGTATTCAATATCCACCTCTATCCACCAGTGAGTGTGCCGCCTGTGTTAAATAAACTGT